CCCCGATGCATCGATACACTATCGATAGTTTAGGTCGATGCATCGATGTTTTGAAAACTGCTATCGTGACAGCCCTAGTAAATAGTAAATATAGTAAATTTACATATTTTGTAAAAATGCAACACCATGCAATTGTTGCAATTCTTTGTTGTATTGGCGTTAATACACGTGATACAAATACTGTACGTTCAAAAACAAACAACCGGACATTTACTTTTCAAGCGTTTACTCCGTTCCTTCAATTTCAATTTTAAAAAATCAACCTCACATCTGCAATTGGCCTAACCGTACCGGTGACGAAAAAACCACGTAAGTACCGGTACGTGAAAAATACAGGGATCAAAACTTTACCAGCTGAACAAGGAAATTATTGGTTCTCGTGATAAGCAACGAAATTTTTGCTTTTACGTGGACCGGTTTTCTGACACGTGGTTCACTATTAGCCACCAAGGATTAACACATAATTATTATTGTATAAGCCAATTAGGGTAAAAGACCCAGTGATGGGCCTGTTAAGAGCGGGTACTCATATGGGCCACATCGCAGGAAAGTGCCTAAAACTAGGCATTTATTCCATGACCACCTCTGAAGTGTGCTTGTGCTTGAATACTCCTAGCCTAGGTCACAACAGGGATAGGCGTGCTATGGAAAGTTAGCTATTGGAATTTTTATGTGCTGTGGCCCATCACTGGGTCTTTTACCCTACATGTTAGGCCCAATATACCTAATTCTGATATGCCAAATTTTTGTAAGTTTAAATGCCATCGAACAGACTGCATCGATTTAGTATAACTGTTATATAATTATGTACACTGATTTTCTGCATAGTATGCATGCATGCGTTTGTTTGTTGCTAATATGCATGGTGTGCATATTTGCAACATGCCAAAAAAAGCGTTGCTAAATACAGTGAAAACTCGTTAACTCGAATCCTGATAAGTCGAACTTTTAGGGACCGGGCAAATCGTNCTGATCGGCCGCGTCGATGACAGCCTAGCTCCGGTGGAGGCGGTCGGTGGGTATCCTGCCGGAAACGCTTGGCTTGAATGAATTTTCCGAAGAAACCAGAGCATAGATCACAAAGATGAATGCATCCAGGCACTCATATCTATCGATCTATCAGAGGAAATTTTACGGGTTACGTCTGAAATGCAATTTCGGACGTTTTTCGACACCTTTGTTGAATGGGGGGCGAAGTATTTATTTTGAAATTTTATAATATACATTTTGGTTTGAATGAACTTTCCGAGCGAACCACTCACCGCAAAGGGACGAGCGAAGCCTCACTGCCATCTAGAGAGTCTTTTCTATCGATCTATCAGAGAAGATTTTGTGATTTTTGCTTTTGAGGAGCCAGGGCTCGCATTGTGTGGCAAGCGCGTAAACGTTGGCAGACGAGGGGGGGGGCGATTTTTATCGCTGTCAGAAACGTAATTTATTTCGCGGGAGTCCTGGTAGACATCATGGTGATTTTTGCATAGACTCCTTCCGAAGATTTATATCTATCGATCTATCAATATATCCAGCGCGATTTTTCACCGACGTGTGTCTGGCGACGCATTCTGGTGATGGTATTGTCAAGGGCCAGTGGGGGGGGGGGGGGGCGATTCCTGATAACTCGAACTTCGGATAACTCGAAACGATTTGCCCGGTCCCTAAAAGTTCGAGTTAACGAGTTTTCACTGTACCTCTAAAGTTAATTTTAGTGAAGCAACTGCAACAAATTACGTGAACAACAAAAAATACACGTTTCAAACTTTTCACTGCTTGAACATCTGATCTTGTATCCAAAATCACAAGTTGCTTATACGGCACACGTGCAAACACCATGCATCCACTGCTTCACCACATGATTCCAAGTTTGGATAATCACCGCTAGGCGGCAGCGGTTGTCCGCAGCGTGCAGCAGTATGCATTTCAGATATCTCCAGCTGATAGTGTGGTCCCAGTGAGACTAAAACCGGGATGTTGCAAATTTGCAACTACATGCACTATAGGGTCAAAATTAATTTTTCACTGAGGTACCTATCCAAGAAGTGAGAATAGGAAGACACAAAGAAGCCCATTACGATTGGTTGAAAATGCAACTCACTCCATTTTCTGATCCAAGAGCAAAAGAGGTAATTGCAAGGCTTCATGGCAAAAAGCTTAGAGCCATACTGTAGAAAAGAGTGCATGTACACAACGAAGTCATCAGCCACCAAATACCAAACATATACAGGTCGAATGAGCATCTAGCTGAATGGTGTAATATTGAGTGCAACAAAATGTGGGAAGTTTAAATAGATATGCAGTCTTTTGGAGTTAAGAATTGCAGCACCTTCTGCACTGCAGACTTTGGTCCTTGGGTGAAATTCATGCAGAGGCTGGTTGTTTCTTTTTCAAATTACATTCATGTTCCCTATTACCAGACACCACGAGAATCACAATTCATATTCAGATCTCTGCTGACAGGTGCTTCAAAGTCATCCCTCATGTCACCTATAAAATGGGCAGAGTGAAGGCTTACTTCTGTCAGAGTTGTGCACGAACTAGAATTTCTTGGAGGCAGAAAGTGAAAGAAAAAAGGTAATGACTTCTGCACGAGGGTATGAAGGCCTCCATGCACTCTCCAGTGCATGCAGCAGCACTACTTAAATGTTACCTATCACCTGATCAGGAAGCATCACCCATCCAAAACTCAACACATTTGTCTGAAGGAAAGATGGGAAATATCATTATCAAAAGGGACTGATTCAGACCATTTATTCACCTGAGTCACAATCATACAGAGGCAAGCATGTAATGCTGGAATCAATGCTGCCCCACTATACAGACAGATCACATTGCAGGAGTGCTGATGACTGACACAGGGGAAACGATGAAACAGAGTGAAATGTACAGGTGATGGATGATAAAGTCACATGCATCAGCTCAGGTGCGGCGATACGGGTGATAGCCTGTGGCCTGTGAAGGCTGGTTGCTGTAAGTTCCACCACGCTGAGGTCCTGGTCCACCAGGAGCAGATACTGGCCCAACTCCAGAGCTCCCTGGTGGCGGCACTGGCCCAACTCCACCCACTCCACCAAATCCATGCATATCTGGCGTCATATAGTTGTTCATGTTACCCCCAAATGCTGCTACAACACAAGAAAATTGTGATTACACTACCTGATATGTATCACACAGGATGAACAAGAGCAAAAATCAAGACCAGACATGTGAAACAATTGAAATTGCAATTGTTTTGGAATTGATATAACTAGATCATAAAAGTCACAAGTGAAAAAAGAAGGGTACATACAGCTTCCTCCAGCTGGTTGCTGATAAGCAGAAGCTGGCATAGATGGGGTGCTTGGAGTCTGTCCAGTGGCAGTCCAATCTCCAGTTGCTCGCTGTGGATCATATCCTCCAGAAGCTCCCTGTCCAGTGTCCACAAACCAAATTCCAAGTCAAGCACAATTCAATTTGGCTGAGAATCCCAGTCATGAGAACTATGATCACTAACCTGTTGGTACTGATATTGATTGGGGTATTGGGTAGGATATTGAACGGCATAATCAGACTTGGCCTGGGTTGCAGCTGCTCCAGAAGCAGCTGTCTGTGCAGTTGGTGTAGCACTTGGACCAGTTGTCCCTGGAGCTGCTGGTACTGGCCCTCCATCTGCAATCAGTTTCATAATTTAAATTTAAATAGCAGGCCTACATAACTTGAAAAGGAAACATTCTTATTTTGGTAAAGCCATGAGTTCCATACCAGGTCCAGGCATGGGTCCAGGTGGTCCTGGCTGTGGACCCCAGCCCCATCCACCATAGCCTGGTCCTATGAAATAAAGGAAATCATGATATCTAAAAAAGAACTCCAGTCAGAGCAAAATTGCAAAGGACATTTCTCAGAGTATCAATTACACAATTTTTTAACCCTTTGCACTCTGTCAGGCATGGTCCAACACTGTCCATAACATGAGAAAAACTGAGTGCAAAGGGTTAAAATGTCCATGAAAAAAGAAAACCCACCATATCCTCCATAACCCCAGCCTCCTTGTGGACCACCCCAGCCACCATATCCCCCACTTTGGGGTGGATAGCCTGCAAAGTAAAAAAATGTTAGATAACTGAAGTATTTTGGAACTTCAACAAAGTTGTGAAATAGCAGGTCCTTTCCTCCAAAATTTAACCATTAAGTTCCAAATTAATTATTTCCTAAGACTTGATAGCTAAGTGACACTTTATATATATAAATATATATACTTATCAGTACATTTAGTCTCACAACCTAGTCAAGTTTTCAGGATTTTCTTATGAACTCTTCTGGGATTTGATTCTGAAGATATAAAGGCCCTGACATGCAAGGAGAGTTCTTCAAGTTCGAGAACAGGAACAATTTTTAGAGCATTCTTTTCCAACAAACCAATCCCACAAAAATAGGAAACAAGCTTGAGAAATTAGGTGAATCAATGGTGACTTCTTTTTTTTTAGTGTAAACCACCAAGGGGGTAAAATACTGATCTTCCCTGTGGCACCATGTGACACAATGGCATGCCACACAGCAGTCAACATATTAATTTTAAAATGTTTAATATTAAAATAAATTCTACAATATGAAAAAAGTATCTTCAAAATTTGAACTTTTAGGTTTTTGGGTTGTTCTTTCATAAATCCCATCAAGGAAAAAAAAAAAATTAAAAGATAGCAATGCTGCAGACTCTTTGGTAATTTGGACTGGAATGACCTACATTAAGCTTTCAAAACATGTCCCTAAAAAAAAATACTAAAGCATGGGAATTGGTTGACATAAAAATATAAGCTTATTCATATGGCACTCCCATGCACTGATATATAATCAACTGCAGGGGAATTGAGCTGCATTAACAAGTGGGCTTATGAGTGAAATTCACATTCTTCTTGATCCATCACACTCTGATCCAAAGCACAAAGGGGGTCTGGTTAAGACTGCAATCAACTCATACTAGTCACGGTACCTTATAATAAGCCCTACAACCATTTTCCTGTAATTATTCTTCAATTCACCTGTCAGGTGAAATGAAGAATTACTGGAGGGAACAATTACTGTCAGGGATATAGGACGATCAAGTAAATGTAAAAAAGGGCTTGGAAGAATTCTCTGTTTGCAAGCCTACTGTTTGCAAGCAAAACTAGTTTTTGTAGCAACCTCTATTAGAACCAATAAATCTTGAGCTTGTCTGTTACAGATCAATGCAACAAATGACAAACTCTATTATTGATTTTAGAATTCAAGACAACAAAAGGCAACAAATTTGTGAAATGAGTGACAACAGATATAAATACAGCATCTATACACACAAATTTTAAAACTGGAATCCTCAACTAAACTTGCTCATATTTTGGTTTATTAGCCTCAATTATGAATTCCAGATGCATTATTGCGATTTTTTCCACAATGTGCTAAAAAGAGATGAGCAAACTCCCCAAAAACATGCATTGTAAGCCTAATATCAAGTCATTATAAGAACCAACCTTGTCCAGAGGGAGGTCCCCACTGCCCTGCAGGTGAAAATTGCAATTTAGGTCAGATGGAGTAACTTATTTTGTATTGTAGCAATTTTAAAGCAATGCACTCAGCTTAAATAATGTCACTACATGTAAGAAGATCAATGGATGAGGGATGAATGCAAAAAAAGTAGGTTTTTTTTACCTGGTCCCCACTGAGGACCCCATCCACCATATCCAGGTCCCATCATTGGGCCACCAGGAGGACCCATTCCCATAGGTCCTGGTGGAGGACCCATAGGTCCCATTGGTCCAGGTCCTATCCCCTATTCACAAACAAAGCCTCAGCCAAACAAATTTTGTTAGCTCTTCATGTTGAAGAATAGGATTTGAGACTCACAGCAGGTGGTCCCATTCCAGGGCCATTCCAGCTAGGTCCAGGTGGCCCAGGAGGACCACCAGGTGGTCCATCCTCAACAGGTCCATCTCTACGTCCAGGTCCATTGGACTGGTTTCTGTCTCTGGGTTCAGCTCTCTTAATCTCCACCTGACATGTTCATCCATATTTCATAATAACTTACATTTAACTCCCAAAAGGCAGAAACTACAGAAAACTTTGCTTACATTACTTAGCATTCCAGAAATGCATGCATCATAACATTATAAAAAATTTACTTTGATGATTGTATCAGAGGAAATTCCTTTTTTTTAATTGTTTTTTTTTTCTCTGCTTATGAATATATCAGAGCACTGCTACTGTAAACTTTAATTTGAAAAACCATTAAAACAATATTGCACTACTTATCTCCTAAACTTCAGTATTTTCATCCATACCCCAACAAGACAAGCAAACTATACAAGTGGCACAGGTTTTGGCCATTTTCTAAATTAAATTTCCTTTTCAATGCTCAAAATAAAGGGCAGATTAATCAAAGAATAATCTGGAGTCATGAGACCTCTAACTCAATGTCTTCTTATGCATGCTACAGCAACCTTAAACATAAAACTGGTAAGCTTGTATGAATCTATACCTTACGTTACCCACTTGTCCTATTCTGTGACCTTACCCAAGAATATCACTGTAGTGATGCATTAAAAATCTCCCATTAAATGAACATACTGCACAATGTACAACACCAATTTCTTAGCCTAAATTAGGCATGACATTTCATTGCTTATATTGCTATTGAGATTTAATTCAAAAAATATATAAATAGGACTCAAGATTGCACTACACTCTATTAGCATAAATCTCTTCAAAGGTTGAAATCATTTGCAAGAATGAAGTCCTCTTCGGAGAAAATTTCATGTAGAAAATGGCCACCTTATATGATTTCCATCAGTTGAATACTGGTGAGGCATGACTAGCAAGTGTTTCCAAGAAGCAAGTTATAGTACAATTACGAGACCAAGCACTATGATTCATGATGAATACAAACCATAACAGAGAAAAAAATAAAGCAGTGAATGAATGAATGAAAAAGAAGGTGACTGAAGGTGGGTACCTGCTTCCCATTGATGCCGACATAATGCATGGATACAACTCTGTCCACTGATTCTGGAGACTCGAAGGATAGAAACCCGAAGCCTAAGACGACACACAGGGCATAGAGGCTAGCTTAGCCTATAGAGCCTGGCCGACATATATGCTTTCAAGAGGCTTCATAAATGTACAACTGATGAAAGAATCACAATGTCTCTCAGGCTTTTAATGAAAGTCATGTTAAATGGTCTGTGTATGGTGAACACGCATAAACTTGAATGTTCCACATACTTTCAAAAGAGCTATCAAGAAATTAAATTACTCTGCAAAATCAACAAAGAAATTAATCATAAAAAAAAAGACAATGGCAGAGGATAAAGCATGGGCTTTAGGTCAGCCAAGCTCCTAGTACGAGGCTATAGCTACAACTAAGTTGATAGCTTATCCAACCTGCAAAGAAAGAAGAGAACAATACTTCAGTATAGCATGACCCTCCAGTGAAAAATTTTTTTTTTTATTCCTTAAAATTACAATGAAAACCTTACCCTCTCATTGAATTCAAATGTGTTTTCTGGGGAATACAAAACTAGACAACACACGTCCTGAGAGAACCATAAATTCACGACTAATGTGGCATACCCATCTTCCCCATCCTTCTAAGGCAGTGTTGCTGATCCCCCTCTCACATCCAGTCTCACTATGACTGTGACTTGTTTCTTATAGAAGTGGTACTGGTACCAGCAAATGGGTGCAAGACAACAACAAGCTGTATGTACACCAACCCCATCCTGCCACCCATACATCTCTACTTTGGAACTACAAAAAATACTGATGTCCTATCCTTCATCTCTTTCATTGAGGCTATTCTTTCCTCTTCTATTCCTATAACCTAAGTTCAGTAGCCTCCTAGTAGACCAAATAATCTTCTGCAGAACACTACCCTAAGGTAGTCCTATATATATAAACCATTTCAATTCCCACATGTAGTCCTAAAAGAATGTCTTTGAATTCCCATATGGACCGCATATCCTATTTATATACTTGCGGAATGGAAAAAACTTGTAAAATAATGGTAGTCTACTCAGACATCTCAGTTCCTGGTTCTCCCAAAAAACACCACTGAGCCTACATAGTCTAAATGGAATTTTAAATCTCTACAGTAATACCTCGCCACATGCTGTTTCTCAACACACTTGTTTTGGTTTTATGCTCGTTATACATTATGACTCTACCTCCCAATCCACTCACTCGCTTCAGACATACACTCCTACAAAACGTGGCCCAAACATCACATAGGGACTCCCACATCCAACTCAGTGTGTTCAAGAACACCTCAAGTCAGTTACAGTTTGCTCACCAAGGTGACAACACTTTTCATTGCTTGTTTACATTGTTTACACATTGATTCACGATACACTTGGTTTTTCAGGAACGCATCCCGAGCTTATAGCGAGATATTACTGTATTTGAATTCCATTACTTTGAAGAAATGAGAAGTCATCACTTCCAGGCATGATTAGCAAGAATTAAAAACTAAAAGCAACATTATTTACCTCTATGTTTCTTCTTGTCCTGATCATACATGATCACAACCTCCATGACCCTGCCCCAACGGGAGAAGAAGCGTTCTAAATCAGTTTCTGTCACATTGGCTGGAAGGCCTCCAAGGAAAATCTTGGGCAAGGTGTCATCCCTCTTTGGCTTCATGTGTTGATCCCGAGGATTGCATGCCTTGGGATCGATCTGAAATAGTGAGAGTATCCTCTGCCATATTCCAATTCAGAGTTCAATCCATTTTTCAGAGTACAAACATAACTCAAGGACTCACAGTGCGTCCATCTAGGGTATGAGGTCCACTGTTGAGGACAGCATCTACATTCATTGGATCCTCAAAGGTGACAAAGCCAAAACCTCGTGAGCGGCCTGTCTGGGGGTTGTGCATGACAACACAATCCACAACCTCTCCATAACGACTGAAGTATGCATGTAGGCTCTCTAATAATATAAGAAGAGGCAAAGATGCTGCATTAGATCACAAATTTCATAGCAGTCCATTTTTATGCCTCAACCAAAATTGGATCTATGAAATTTCCTACCTTTTGAAGTCTCAAGAGCCAGTCCACCAATAAAAAGTTTCCTGCAACAACAAAAAAATTATCACATGCATAGGTGGGGTGCTTGTTGGTAGAAAAAGACAAGATAACATAAGTACAGTGAAAACTCGTTAACTTGAACTTTTAGGGACCGGGCAAATCGTTTCGAGTTATCCGAAGTTCGAGTTATCNGAACATCCTCCCGAACGTGTTTCTTGTCATTCCTCCTATTCAAAAGTATTTTTTAAAAAGTCCCAAGAGAAAAATTTTTCCCCCCTTTTCACCCTGAATTCGAGTTAACCGTGAGAAATTCGTTATCGGGAGTGAAAATTTCATTTGAGATATCCGGAAATTCGAGATAAGCGAATTCGAGTTAAACGGAGCATTTAACATGGTGTCCTACAGGGTTCCGCCGGGACCAAGCTTTGAACTTCGAGATAAGCAGAATTTCGACTTATCAGGATTCGAGTTAACGAGTTTTCACTGTATAACATGTTCGTAAGCCAATTGTTAGTTTTGACATTTTTGCATACCAGCCCATCTTAAGAAACATTTGTTATCTGGTAACATTTTCTGGCATAGGCAGATGTGAGATATTGACAAATTTGCTCAAAATGTTCAGGTAAATTTTTTCCATCTCCCATAGTTTCTGCTTGGACTTGGCCATAGAATGCACTCTACTCAAGACACCACTTGATCTCCTCTGAGGCCCAATTACATTTTTATCCTACATTGGAAACTGAGGCATAAAATTCAGAGATGAATTTCTTGGTGTAAATAAATGGATGGTTACTGGGAAATTAAAGAACTTTTTCCACCGCTGCTAGCAACAGTGACTACTTGGGATTTTTATGTGATAATGCCAAGACAACAGATGATTATGATAATGGAACATCACATACCCAGATTCCTCTCCTGATGCTCTCCTCTTCTTCACTCCTGTAGTAGTTGCCATACCTGGTGGTCCGTTCTCTCTCTTTTCAACTTGTGTTTCTTTTTTTATAAGATCCTCTTTAAATTGACTTTGATCATCAAAGAACAGTTTCCAATCTGACATGTCCTACCATACACCCTCCTGGCTTGTGAGAAGCCCAAAATGCATGCAACCAATTCTTGGATTCTCTCAGCAACCTGCATAAGTGAAAAAGTAAGAATATTTGACAAATACCAAAAGTGACATGATTAAAGAGATACCAGGGGCAAGGAGTGAGGACAGAAATAGGACTGACAGGGCATGATAAATTCATAAAAACCAGCAAGTCAAGCTATTAAAGACAGCCCACACGCACAAAAAACCTATGACCTTATAGGAAAGCATAACTACAACCTTCCAATCACAATAGGTCAAGGATCTGAAAAACAGCTCAAGTAAGCTTATGGGCTATTCCAAAGTTACTGACATAATATCAGACTCAAATTGAAAACAAGTATGATGGTATACCTTGAATATGGTTTGGCCCAGAAATACTACTTCACCAGTACCTTACAGAAAAAACATACTTGCAATATTCCAGACAAAAATTCTTAATTTCTCCCATGGATGGAGAAAAGTAAGGCCATTCATTTTGTGCTGTTTAAAGTTTAAACAATGTTACATCAGCAACATAGTTTAACCAAGTTTTCATACTTGAAGAAATGAGTCAAACCTTCAAGAACGAGGAACCGCTAATTTACAACTCGACAGTTTAGTTCATAGGGATATATGAAGTACACGTAACAGAAGGAGGTGAAGGGCCAATCCGAAAAAAAACTCGCGACTGTCCGCTAGGTTAATATTGGCAATAACGCCGTTACGATCTAACTTAATCTATTACTTACACTTAGGTCTAACGTTAGGCCACGTATAGATCCTAGACAGACTCCAGGCATACGCCTACTTTAGGTTCAGATATGATTTGGATGCAATGGCTTTGGCCTAGGGTCTATCTTTAATTCGCATCCGTGTAGAAAGAAGAAAGAAGATCGCGGGTTCGGACATGGCCATAGAGCCAGACTGCAAGCGGTGTCCGAACGGGAAGAGCGTACTTTAACATCTTCGATTCCGAGTTTCGTAATCTCGTCAGCGTCAACTCGAACGAGCAGAGGAGCGAATCCTGTTTTCTTTGTTTTTTTTTTCTTACATCGTCGACTATTTTCTTTTACATCATAGAAGTCAATGTATGTTCCAAAAAATGAAAAAATAAATATACTTTTTTTTTTGTTCATCGGGAGTGTACAACAGTGCCCCCTCGGATTGTATTTGTATACCAATACGTCACTCTCGAGTTGTAGCAATCCACGTAGCGACGCCGGCTAACCTGCGTTTTCTTGAACTGTTCTGGCGATCTGGTGGACGATGGAGCCCGTGCAAGAAGGCGAGATCGAGTATCGGATAGCGACGAAAGAGGACGTGGACGTGATCGCCTATCAAATGGCATCAGATTTTTTTCGTCGTGAACCTGTTGTCAGCAAGGTGGAGGGGATCGTACTTCCCGACGATGTCCTCCCATTCACGACCATGGCCGGAAAAGTCATCTTGAACGAGGAATTGAGTTTGAAGGCTATTCATGTACCCACGGGCAAGGCCATCGGCTTCCGAAATGCCTACAGCATCACGGAGGACAGCGACCCGATGAAGGAGGCTATCAAGGACAACTGGCCTTCTCTCCATCCCATGGTGAGATTCATTCTCTCTTCCAGTCCTTATATTCTGCATTTAAAAAAGAAAAAGGAAATCTAATGCGCTCAACACTCATTTCCGGTTAATTTGGTAAACTTTTAAAGATCAAGAAAACACCCGTACTGTAACAATAATAATGTAATGTAAATCCAAACTTTAAAAAAATTGCGTGCAGTTTGTAGGAAAACGGCTGAGAACAGCCACTAAATCGACAACTTGCGTCGAGCCGTATTTTTTCAGCCTTTGGAATTTTTCAGAGAATCAAGATTTTACATTGTGTGCCAGCAAAAATATTTCTAAAAAAAAATATTTAAAAAACTCATTTAGATTCAACCCGAATATAGATTTATTCATCGTTATAAACGAGTTGGAACAATACAGGTTCAAGCGCTACTGCAGATGCTGGAAATGGAGGAGAAATGCGCGCCTCAGCTCTTGAAGCGAAACAACCTGAAGCGAGTGATCCAGTGTTTCGGTCTCTTGGTCTTGGAGGAATACGAGGGACGAGGAATCGGTACAAGGTTAAATCATCTCTCCATGGAACTCTACAGGTCGCGGCTCTCCATCCATCTTTGAGCCACGTCGTCGTCAGCTCTGATCCAGCATCCGTTTTTTGTTTTTTTTCCCCAAACAGAAAGTCGGGTTTTGAGGGAGCGAAAGCCACGGCAGCGAATCCGAGATCCCGTCGAATTTTCGAGAAAGAAGGCTTCGAGAACGTGGGCCATTATTTCCCGTCGCAAGTCATGACCGAAGACGGATCCAAACTCATGCCGTCTCTCCCGGAAGACACGAAGGTCATCGTCTATTTGAAGAAGTTTTAAACGCGAAGCATGCCCTGGAAGTGTCATTGCGCCTCGACAGCACCGGCCTTGGCGCGGATCGGAAGGTTTTATGTTTCGTTCATTAAACTGTACAGTGTTACCCGTCGGCCTTGGGCATGCCACAGGGAGTCGCATCAAAGGCACGAGTCGCTATGTCTTCGAAGCGGATGGGGAATCCGGCATTCCATTCGATGCAGCAAGAATTCCAGTTTCTCGGTCGACACGGTTAAAATCCTCTTTCGTTTCGGTTCGCACTCGCAGACGTGCATCCAAGTGACTGCTCTCCGTCAACCACTCCAGGGTGCATTCTCCCCAAGTAGCACATAGGTGGTGGGCCATCAACTACGTCTGGGGAAGAGAGTTGGTGGCCCACCACCTTGACTGGGTTGTGGGCCACCAGCCGCATGTCCCACTTGCCAGTAGTGGCCCGCCACCTTCCGGGCCGCTTAAGGGCATAACCAGTTAGCTCGTTTGTGGTGTACCACGAGCTGGGAAGGGTCCTAATGCCTCCATATATAAAGGGTGTCCCAACAAGAGCGCAAGATTTAATTTTGTAATAAAACGCATCATTTATTCAAAAAGTGCTGATATTTTTATTTCAGTAGAAAGCACACACACTGCGATTAATTGTGGAACACAATATCCGACAAATGTCCCCCACGACTCTGCTGGCACACTCTTGCTCTTTTGACGAAATTCTCGATGACAATTCCGCATGATTGTGGCTCAATTTCGCCAATGACACGTCGAATCTCCACCTTGAGCTCAGGAACTGTTTGTGGTTTGTTGGCATGGACACGAGATTTCAGAAACCCCCAAAGAAAGAGGCCGCACGGTGTCAAATCGCACGACCTCGGTGGCCAATTCTGGTCGTCATTGCGTGAGATGACACGGCCAGGAAATTTTTTTCTCGCAATAACTCAGTCGTTTCGCGCGCAACCTGCCACACTGCGAGAAAAATTGCACACACTGCGAGAAAAATTGCACACACTGCCAGAAAAATTGCACACATTGCGAGAAAAATTGCACACACTGCGAGAAAAATTGCACACACTGCGAGAAAAATTGCACACACTGCCAGAAAAATTGCACACATTGCGAGAAAAATTGCACACATTGCGAGAAAAATTTCCTCGTCCAGCAGTCCCAGGCGGTAATTCTGAAGCAGTCGTCCGATGAGCTCCTTCAGGGATCGCCGATCCATTTTGGCACTAGCGCGACGCGGTCACTCGGCCATTGTTGCGCGATGGTCCGGTACCCCGCACCCAATTAGACTTTCCGCCTTGCACCGGTGTGCACTTATATTGAAAATCGTATTATAAAGTTTAAATTGCTATACAAGGATTCGGAAACGAATTTTAAATGAAAAACGTGAAACCACATTTACTTCTTTGAGAAAGAAGGCCTTCTAGATCAGGATCTTATCAGAGGTGAGTTTAGTTGTTTGGCGCGTTTCGAATTGAGAAACGATTGGCGAAACTAGACTAAAAGGCAGATCTAAATCCCGTCAGAGTCGTTAGCTAAAAAAAAAGGTTTTGTGGCAAGAAGTGTGCCATAACTAAAACCTACATCATTTTGAGTGCTAAAATCAATGCAGAGTTGGGTTTAAGGCCAGTGTTTTATCGTTTCGAATTCACGTCAAGAATTTCATTTGTTTCTAAGCATTCTTGTTGGCAGCCTCGCTTCTCTCTGCTTTATCTCGAAAACGTTTCGGTTTACGAAAAATTCTGCCCCAACAAGACTTGTTGTCCAGTCTGCCCTAGCCAATGGTATAATTTATTTTGGTTGTTTGATGTTATTTAAGTAAGATAAACTTATACAAAGGATATTGCCTCTATCATGCGTCAGAACCACCCCCGCCCCCCCTTTCTTACATCTTGACAGTGACACGCTTGACGAAAAATCACTTTCTGACAAGATTTGGTGTCCAGAATCCACATAAACCGGTGGTATAAATGTTGAAGCTGTACGTCTTCATTTTAGTCTAATACTCACCCAAATAGACATCCTTTACGTGCGTTTATCTCACTTAAATATGGTCAAAAAAAGCCCCCCAAAAATATATCAGCAGCTAGGGCAGAATCAATGGCGCAAATCTTGTTCGGGCAGAATTTTTCGTAATTTATACTGAAACGTTTTCGAGATGAAGGAGGGAGAAGCGAGGCAGCCACCCAAGGCCCATTGTTGAGTACAGGAGCACGTGGCATTGATTCTTGAATTCAAAGGCTCTCCGTCCACGGCCAATCAGGTAGCGCTGAAGTCGTCTGTTCCTGCGCGGAACTTGGACTCCGTATTATAGAGTGTTCTCAATCCAACTTGAGCGTGGGAAAGGAAGGGGAACGGATGCGCAGGGAAAGGGAAGGAATACAAGCGCCAGCAAGTCTGGCAAACGGCAGAGCGTGGCTGGTTCCACGTCCCTTCGTTTGAGGGGATTAGGCCGGAGGGAGGCGCGAGAAGAGAGGGAGCGAAGTGCGTGAGTACGCGATCAGCGGGGAGGGAGAACCTATGAGGCAACAGCCTGCGCTCGCACATCATGAAGAGGAAATTGCTTGAACGAATTTAATAATTAATTTCGCACTTGCACATCCCGTGGAATTAATAAACGATTTCGGAGCAATTGGAATCCTGAAATGCTCCTCCTTAAAATAAAATTAATGCGTATACTATCAATTCCTAATAAAGTAGAGAAAAATGGTTCTACGTTTGTGACATGCCGTAAAATTTCAAATTTGGGTTCAGTAAAATCGTAAAGGATCTGAGGCGGATGAACGGATTCGCTTAAAAATGGTTCTGAAGCTTCCCAAGAAGCTTTCCCACAGATTTGAGAGTTTATTTTTTTAGATTCGCTTTCGTTCTCGAGAAATGACAATGAATCTGGGGTATTTTGGAAAAATAGAGGGATTTTGAGGTATATCATCGAACTTCCTGGAAAATGGATCAATGAATAATTGTGCCCTTTGACACGAAGACGGACGAGGATGCTCTCCAAAAACTGGAGTATGGTTTTTCCGGTGCAATGTTTCTACGGAGAATGAGCGAGGGAAGAATTGAATTCGCGAAACGCGAATTTTCACAAAAAGCGCTACGGTGTCTCGGAAGGCAGAGAGATAAGCAAATTTTCTGGACTCGTAATTTAACATTTTCTGTTGCGAGGAAAATGGCGCAAATTTGACGTTTCTGCGACCAAGGGTTGGGGAGATACAGATGCTCAAAGAGAGGCATGTAAATCGTGACCGTTGACCATTCGCCACGGTCAGGTGCTTGACCTAAGAGTGCCAAAAAGTGGCTTCAAGGCCCTCCCTTGGGGTCCTCTGCAATAATTATAAGCCAGAATTTGATTCTATGGGGGTCGATTTTCATCTTCCCTTAGTACATTAAGTTGGAACGGGAAAGTGTGGGACTCTTGTTGGACCATGAACTGAGACCAATTCAATTTGCAATGACTATGTCAGCAGATTTCATGAACTTTCTCCCAGTAATTGCAAATAATTTGGAGGTTTGAATCCCTCCTTTTTGATTCTAGATGAAGAATTGGGCATTCCGTAAAATAGTGTTCGACATTTTTGCGACTCGAGTTTTCTCGAGTTTTGTAGTTTCTTTCAGTGCATTAGATACAGGCCCGTTTTTATTCTAGGCTTTCTCCGCCTTTTGTCGTGCTTCTCCTTTTTTCTTGCACCACCCTGTAGTTGATGGTTGTTAAATGAACTGATGAGAACATTTTCATGCTAACATCTGTTTTAACCTTAAAATTAGTTTGGCTGCATAGGATCCGCATGAACGTATCAGGGTGTTATTTGAGAATCTTCTGCATCATGTTCTGGTTTGGAAACACGAAGATACCATTAAAAGTGTTTTTCCTCTGAGGGTGTGAAGCAGTTTCGGTCTATTCTTTCTGGCGAAGACCGAAGAGATATGAAGGTACTGCTGCAGATGCCATTTGTATTGTAATAGATCATGAGAACCTTCCTATGTTGCAAGCTTTTGGCAAAATGTGAGGCAGGACAGTTCGACAAATTTCCTGAAGGTGCTTCAAGAGACCGGGAAACATTCTGAAGCCAGATTTCGAGAACAATGTGCGCGCAATTCAATACCGGACTTCTGGTCTACCAATCTAGAATCCAACTGCAGTTTAGATTGGGCGTACTATGTTTTGTTTCCTATAATACCATCTCAGTTCGGCGAGGTTCCATGTGACAATGTGGATTACTTGGGAAATACAAGGCTTCAGGGGATGTAGCAAGTTTTCGGAGGCATTATTTAAATTAAATATCACAGACACTGTAACTTCATAAAACTTTACAATGGAAGACGTGAATGTGTCAAGTAATTTTGGCTTCTGCATATTCCATGAGGTCCTAAAGGAGGTAGAACCATGTAGCACTTCGTTGATATGTACTGTGTTATTGGCTGGCCTATGATAAAGAATTCAGTCAGAATCCAAAACTATCTCACAGTTTTTCCCAATTGCTTACGTCCGTTTCTCGAAACTAGACTTCCAAAACAAATACAAATCCCATAACTCTCCAAACTTTTCACATAACATAACAGCCGATTTCATTGCTAACGTAGGAAAAGCGAAACACGGAGTGCGATTTTCATATCTTTACGTACCTTTTTCGAAACCTAACGTAAGGAAAAGGGTAAGAAGACCGATTCGACGAGTGCAGACGATGGATGCATGGCTGACGACGGCAATCTCTATCCTCCAAAATTCCTTCCAACCAATCACAGAGGTTCTCCTCGTGCATAGTTGTCAGGGCTGAATGCTCCCTCTCAAACGTTGAAATAGTTCCTTACGTCGATACAGCAATGTAGTTAGCAGAAAATAATGCTGACTGTTATTCAGAAAAATCCAGAATACCAGATCCTGAGTATTTACTTACGATTAATTTCTGTTACAACATAATCAGCTAAAAAGGGTTGAAAAGAGAGAAAAGAGGTGATTTTATGGCCATTTTTGTTTGTCATAAGTTACAAAATTATGGCCTTGGGACCCATTTTTGTTGGTAGATATGTTTGTTCACTAGGAAAATCTCATGTTATGATCTCCAAATCTTTCCAACTTATGCTCGCTCTATTGGCTCGCTGAGGTGTTTTCGACCGGATACAACACCCTGCACCCTTTTGAATGACGGCACAAGTCAAGTGACTTCTCAAAATAACAGTCTAACCTTATTAGGGTGTGGGGAGATAGTAATGGACTCGACCGGCAGAAACCGTGATCTGTTGTGGAGTAGAAATGTACAATTTCC